AGCATATACATGATCACACAACACAATAGTTTAATATCCAAACTATCACATTTTATTAATAATTATGCCTAGATAATGGATAGAAAAATTTGGATGCATAGTCATCTACTTATCTACCTCTTACCTGCTATCATCTACTTATCACTACCTTTATAGTGCATTGCCTCCTGCTCTTAGATAGATTGGCTATGCTGTGCCAGGGATTTTGCACAGCTATTCTTCTAGCAGCATGATGGGGAGAAGTTCAGTGAAGTCCTCGTATCCCTTAACAGAGTTAATCACTTTCTATCAAGATATTGACGCTAATTCTGATGATCTCTTCTATTGAACTGGCAGGGTTGTTAACAGATTCGCCTCTGTTGGTTTTCTCCAGATATCTTTGTTGTTTGCATTTTTTTTTAATGGAGGCAATTTGATTTTTGTTAATATAAGTAATAGAGAAGTTTGGCAACTGGGTACTCCACAGACATGCTGCTTCCTCTTCTTCATTTACTTTTCTCTTTTAAAATCATCAAAATGTTGACAGCTGCATAAGTCTTTTTAAAGCATTCATAACCTGACAGATATTACAGATATTTGTCATTTTACTTCCAGTAAGTGACAGCTGAAATTAGCTTTCTGCAGTATTGGAGGATAGCGCGGGTGTAGTGAGTCCAGTCAAATTTGTCTCACATTTCTTTAATGTACAAGTGATTTCCTATCTTGTTAAGACTGGGGACTGGAAGGATGTGAGGAGAGGATCTAGTAACCTTTCATTTGGGAGTTCTCTGCAAATTAAGCTGGCGGGATGGTGGTATCTCAGAGCTGGTAAGTCTCAGTGATGAAGAAATCCTGGAGGGCCATGTCCTTAAATCACATTCCTGATGTTCAAACTCCACTATCCCATCCTTAAGAGAGCCTTCCTGCTGTGAGTGAAAATCTGCAAAGCTGGAGGTTCAGTCCTTTTGAAGCAATTTGTTCTGTTTCTAGGAAGCACTAAATGTTGGATACATATTCCTTACATTGAGCTTAAAGTTTCTACTTTGTAATTTCTGCCCACTGGTACTGATTCTCCACGACTATAGCTATAAATCCTAAACCTTGTTTTTCTTTTCTAAAAACAGTAACAAACATAATGACTGCTACTCATGGGCTATATATATATTGTGGTAGGTACTTTCTGTTGGGTCGTTGGGAAAGTCATGACACATTTTTGCATAGAAAAAACAAACAGAAAAATATGTTGTGGCTTTCCCGACAGCCTAATATATTTGATGGCTTTCGTTCCCACAACCCAAGAGTATAAGCATTATTATTATATCTATTCTGAGGAAATTGAAGCTCAGTGAGTTTGAACTAACTTGCTGAATATGATTCACATGTCTCATGAATGGCAGATCCAGAATGCTAATCCAGGTCTGAGTAAGGCTAACCAATGGTTTGTGACACTGTGTAAGTCACAAAACTTTGCTGGGTCACTGTTTCCCGTCTGTGTTCTATGGATGGACATGGGTCTTGCTTAGTGTGTGAGAATCTAAATGAGACCTGTGGTGTTTTATGTGAAGTGGTGTACACATGTGGCATTCTCCTATTATTAACATCATCACAGACACTATTAAGATTACTTAAAACTATTCTGAGGAGATTGTCTAGGTCAGTAGGAGTGCTTTATTTTTTAGTTCTATTCTTTTAGCACTCTACCTCCTTATCCTTATCCTTCCTGCTCCCTCCAATTAATTTAAAGTTTATTCATTCTTCAAGACCTGGGACAAATTCTAATTCTGCTGTGGATTCTATTTAGATTTTACTAGCCCATAATAATGTCTCTTTCTTTGGAGTTCTGTTGCATGTTCAACTATTTAGACTTTTTTAAGCTGAGAGATACAGAAAGAAAAACAAAACCAAAAAAGAACACCTTGAACTGTCTTAAAGCAAAAACATGTCAGCATTGGCTCTCATGATAGCAACAGCTTTAGACAATGTTTGAGGTAGAAACTGAGGCCTCCTGGCCCCAGTTGTTATTTTTTTATTTCTCAGCGACTCTTCTACAGTGAAGGATCTCTTACTGGGGGACTTTGCTTCATTGCAGGGTGACTGTAAAGAATTCTTAAGATTGTATGTGTTTTGGTTCAAATCCAATGGGAGAGAGAAAGTTTGATTACTTCAGGGCTTGAATGAAATTTCCCAAATTGAATCTCATTGGCCTGATAGGTCTAAATGGGGTCATAGCCTATACTTGAACTAGATACTGTAGCCCGGGGGAGTGAACTCTGCTGATAGGATTTAGTCAGTTGGGCCCCATTCTACTAGAAAGTAGAGCCAGCGCACACAGACCAAATCTGGGGAATTCTAGGGAAATGTACAGGATAAAATGGAGGTGGCCAACAATTGTCCAATAAGTATGATTTGCTTATTTTATACATGTATTATTGGCTTTGTTTCTGGTCATTTTTATGTCATGATAGAGTGACATATCCTTGAGGACAGGGACCTGTGTGTGTTTAAGTGATTTTTCCAGAAGGTATTTGCACTTACCAGAGAAAGAAAAATAGGGAAAATGATAAAGAGCTAATCCCTTCTCTTCCATTTGTTGTTCCCCTTGAGCTTTTGGGCACCCATATACTCACAGGCATGCTATTCAAGCAGCCAGGTCCAGGACTCTGACTACACAGCTGGCCATGTGAGAACCAGTGCCCTAACTACCACTGGCTGGCCTTGTTATAAAATTAAAAATAAAATTTTAGATTTCTCTTCCCACCAACTCTAGCACATCTTACACCTCCTTACATAAATGTGTATACTCAATAAGCATTCAGGAAAAATGTTGAACGTTTCTTTTCTTTCTTTGATATTACCTACCATAAAATAGGCTATAAAAGAAAATATCCAGTAATTCCGTATACTACCATAACAAAAAGGAAGTAGGTACAACAGGAAGATAATGATAAAGTTGAATAAGTCTTCACCATTGAGGACATCCCTCCTTATTGAGATATACCTTAACTACACAATTGGATATGCTCTGCAGTCTTCAGTTAACCTGCTAGTAGGCACTGAAAGATCATTTTGTAGGGAGAAATTTTAGCATGTTGAATGTGTTGTTAATGAAATTGGAACTTTCAGACCACTATATATTTATCATAGATGGTGCTACATGAAAGGAAAGCTATATTAACCTTTTGTTGATTTGAAGTCATTTTACCTTATGCTCAGGAGCCCAATTAAGATTATTGATTTGAACCATACTCATCAAGATCAACGTATATTGTGTTAATTTCCTTCAACACAGAGAAATCTGAAACCAAGCGCAGAGGAATTGAGACAGAATGATTGATTTGTCTATGAAAAGCATGTTTTGTACCATAATCTCATTTTAATGCTTCAGTAGTTAAGTTGTGCCAAATTGCTTTCGATGAGGCAATTGTTTTCTGGTTGAGATTCTGTTTAGGCTTTCTATTGGCCAGCAACTTCCACAATCATGCTATATAAGAAACCATCTCAGGGACCAGCAGTTGGTGTAATGGCTATGTCACTGGACTCCCATGTAGTTGACTGTGGTTTGAATCCCAAACCCAGTAGCTTAAATTCATGCCGGGTATGTGTACATGAGTGCCCAAGATCCTGAGAGGAGAATGGAGGAGAAGGGGTTGTAGTGTGGCCAACCCCCTGGGGAGTGACTTCTTGCTTTCTGTCTCTCTTTCTGGCAAGCACACGTGTCCATAGCAAAAACCTCTCAAAAAAGAGAAACCATCTCATTTACTCTCTGGCTCAGGTGTCTGCAGGTTGACTGTGGTTTGACTGATCTAGGCTGGGTGATTGTGCACCAGGGTGCAGACCAGTGGACCGTGACCCCAGGTTGCTTGTTGGCTTCAAGTCTGCTCCATGGTGTTTGTTCTGGGACCCAGGCTGAAGGGACAGAGACTACCTGGAGCATGTGTACGTCTTGTTGCTTCATTGGAGTGCAAGAGCCAAGCCAAATAGCATCAGCACACATAGAACCTCTGCTTGCATCATGTGACTCAATTCCCCTGGCCTGAGCAAGTTTTGTGGTAAGATCAATGGGGCAGGAGAGTAAACTCTGCCTGTAGTGGGAGATGAAGGGAGTCACTGCTGAACAGCATGAATTATCATGGACCTTCCAGCTTTGTAACTCTTAGTTCAGAGCACTTAGGCATGTTATATGTCCCATCATCATAGTGGAATTAGGCTGATTTCTTGACCTAAACTAGAAGAAAATGCTTTTAAATTTTACCCAGCATTAAATTTGTGTAAAATATCTACTATCCTAGTTTAGAGTGAACTTCTTGAGGGCAAATACAGTGTCCTGCTTTCTCTTGCATCCCAAAGAACCTGACATGTCGTAGACCCTTGGTACAGAATGAATACATAATGAAGAAAAGAGTAATGAGTGAAAGAGTATGAATGGTAATCTTGTTTCCTCTGTAGAACAGTTAAATGAAACAGAAACACATGATAGAAATGAAATAGTAGGAAAAGCTGTTAAAACAGTAATCTGAAGTGTATGAGTTCTTGAGTGTGTGTGTGTGACACACACAATGCAAAGATATATGTACACATTCCTGTATATGTGTATATATAAAGATACCATGTAGTATATATTTGTATATTTTATTTAATTTATCTGATAACCCCTTGAAGAAGAAAATGAACTATCAGTGAAGCTAGGTTTTCCAAAGGCCACACACCTTTAAGAATTGGAGGTCAGATCCGAACCTCAGTTGTCTGACTCCAAGTCAAAAGCGCCATCCTGGGGCCGCTTCTCAGAAGAGGGCAGTGAATTTTTATTTTCCTCCTCACAAGGACCTTCCTTTTACCTTGAGCCTGACTGCTTGACTCAGCGCAGCATCAATTCCCCTGAGACTGGTCTGTTAAAAGTGGACACATGGAACTTTAGAAAAAATGGAGCAAGTGGCTGGAGATAGAGGGCTGCTTTCCCTTTCCATTTGAAATTAATGTTCACTGTATAAAAAACATAAAGCATATCCATCCCCAGGGACTTGCCTGACATTTTAAAACTTTCATCTGCTTTAATTCACGGCGTTCGAGGTGGGGATTTACACGTCGCTGAGCTCCGGTGGCTAGTTGGCTGCCGTGTGCACTTCCTCTCCTGTCGTGCTGGGCTGAGCTTCCTACAGGTCCAAACAAATTATATAGCTTATTTAGCTCCCTCTAAAAACAGTAATGGGCCTATTCAGATTTTATCTGTAATTTTACTTTGTTGTTGAGCAGTATTAATAATGCTGTTGTAAACCAGGCCAAGGCAGCTCTCACCGAATTTTCCAGGCTTTAGTGATAGGATAAATAGCCACTCGCAGAGCACAAAGGGAAACATGTAGATCGTCTCAGCATAAGTTAGACACGCTCGCCTGGATCGGAGCCGTGTTAATATCACATCTTGCAGATTTGGCAAGGGCTTTAAGAGTCCTGTATTTCAAGTTGGTTTTTATAGAAACTTGCTGCAGAACTGGGCAGGATTAATCATGGCTGATATATATCACACTTAGTACAGCGTTAAATTCTAGCAATGGGAACGATGCAAAACCAGTTCATAACCTTATAAGAACATTGCGTGCTACAGTAATCTTAGAGAAATACTGTGTACCCAAATTAATGGAGAATAAAAATGTCCTGCACTCTGTTTTGGGTGTCGGATAAGGTTCCTAGGTGGTGTTCATTTCCTCTCTTTTACCCTACAGGAAAGCTGGCCAAGGCAGGCCTTATGTCTTCCTGGGGTTTATTAACACAGAGGATTTGTGCATGTGGAGGAGGTCTGATCTGGGTGTCATTTGCTTGGCACAAAGACTAGGAATATTTTCCTTAATTCTTGACACCTACTCGGTGCTAAACACTGTGCTGAGTGTGGGGTTACAAGGTGCTTATGGCTCCTTCCCTTGTCTCATGGAGCTGCCTGACGGGGCCTAAGGTATGTAGTAGGTTCTCTGCAGTTCTGGAAGTCTCCCCTTCTCCCCATAAGGGTTCTACAGGTTTTTATGGATATGATTTTTCCCTGGAGGGTAGTCATGCACATGTTTTAAAGAATACTCTTGAAAAATCTTTGAAGATTAGTACTGATGTTTCTTATGCCCCCCAAAGCATGAAGAAATATAAAATTTTGTCGTGCCATTTTGGCTAAAGTGTTTTGTTGTGTAAAGATAAATTATACATTAGATAGCAGTGTGAGGGATTATAAGTATTTCCTTTCTTCCAAAAAATGATGAAATAGTAATTCCAGGGGCTGTGGAACTACCTTGGGAAACCTTTAAAATTAGTAGAATCCACAGGCTGAGTTAGTTCAAAGAATCTGCCATGCTTAGGATTCTACACATTTGATAGGCAGAGTTGCTGTATTTTTGACCCCTGCCAATATTTTTTTCCCCTCAGTAATTGTCATCAAAATGAATTTTACCTTTGCTACCATTTGAGAGGGGGCCCTATATTTATCTTTGGATTTTACTATGGGAAATGACTAATGATAAGGAATTCTTAGCCTCATATTCCTAAATCATACAAAAATGCAAACAAAACAAAAAAACAGTGACTTGCGCTCTGCTGTGGTCATCTGACTCAACCTATTACTTATGAAGTAACACAAGGATGCACTCTTACCAAAGGCTTCACTTCCACCAGCTATCAACTCTTCTTCTAGCTGGTCCAACTTTGCTTTTAATTTTCTTGTTGACTTCTTCAGTTTAAGACGGAGTATTTTTCAAGGGCTTTAGAACCTGCTGTGTTGAGATGCAAGGGAATAATGTACCAAAGAGAAATTATTGGAGGGTTAATGGACCACCATGCCCTGCTATGAACACACATATCAGGGTTTGAACTCAGTGATCTCAGGTTTTGCCGCTCTGTGAGGCTGCTGATTGCTGCCCAAGAGCTAGAGGAGATACTATCTCTGATCTCACCAAAGAAAAAAACGGTTTATACTTTTTTTGCAATTCGTTCCTCATTACTGTGCAAATGTGGTCAGTTATCTGTATTTCTTAACATGCCCTCTGTTTATTTACATAATAAACTCCTACCAAACAGTAGCAGTTCTTCTTGTCTTTTCTGTTTTCGAGTTGGATCTTTTCTCCTTTCAGTAGTTAAGTGAGTTACCTAAATTTAATTTTATGGTCTTTCTGAGTTCAGATAGTCCAGATACTGATTTTTGCCAGATGTAAAACTAGTATAGTCACCCCCTGCTTCGGGATAGTTACTAGTCACATAATGATTCCAGTAAATAGAAAGATGTTTTCAGGCATTTTAGGCAGGGCCAAAAAAGGATTCCTCACTGTGTAAGATTTCTCACTGTGTTTCTACGTGTTTTGGAGGGAGACATTTCTTCTCCTTGAGGATTTGAGATTTGGGGAGTTCTCCTGGCTTTTGATGGACAGGTTTACTCCCCAAGATGCTCTCCTAATGGTGGCAACTGTGAGCTATAGCATTTCAGGCTGGGGGTCAAGATATGGTTGGGAGGGTGTCAACATGTTTGCTTAGGTACTTGAAGGGACACCTCCCTACAGAAAGAGGCCAAGGTGAGTTTCTCAGGTGACCCTACCCATCTGCCCACCCATTTTCAATTCATTCATCCATTCATCTTCTAATGTGTTTGTTGAGAGCTTATTGATTTCCAGACACTGAGGAAGCAAGATAAATAATATGTGGCCTCTGATTTTGAGGAGATTGGGGTCCAGGGAAAAAAGAGATACATAAATAATTTCAGCATCATGTCATAAAGGTGATGATAGAAATATGTACAGTGGATTTGCAGTGGACATATTGGTTACAGGAAGTCAGGATAGCTTTGATAACGAATGGCAGTTTGACTTGACTCTTGTATGAAAGTGGAATATGGAAGACAATAATAGCAATGACAATAACAGCAACAGGAAACACCACAATAATAGTAGTTAACTGCTGATTGTTTACTGTGTGTCTGGTATAGTTCTCAGTGCTTCATGTGTTATCTCTTATACCAAATATATGCAGTATGGTCTATTGTCATCTGTGTTTTATAGATGAGGATAGTGAGGTATGGAGAGATGAAATTGGTTCCAGGATACATAGCTATGAAGTGGTAGAGCTGTGACTTGAACCTGAACAAGATGGAAAGTTGCAAAGAAGCATTCTCAGCAGAAAACAGTAGGGTGGAGAGATGAGAAAGGGGGTGAGTTAGAGAAGACAGAAAAACCAATGGGAAAACATGCAGGCACGTGTGTGTGTACCCCAAATCCCAGAAGGATGGAGAAATGGGAGAGGGGATTCCAGCATGACAATGTCCCATTGGGGGTGTTATATCCTTCTCCCTCTCTGTCTCTGACAAACACATGTGCCCTCTGGAAAAATTACATAAGTGATTTCCCTATTACAAATACGTAGGCCATGTCTAACTTTCTGAGGGGAATCTTCCATAAAGATTTTCTAGTATTTGAATACTGTAATATTTGTAATAGGAAATCACTGCTGATAGAGGGCGCCAGCCCTTGCCTTCCCTGACCATTGGTAGACAGGAATTCTCTCCCTGGGGCTGGACTTGACATTTCTAAGTACCTTGTACTGAGGTTCTGTGTGGGGAACACTTATGTGGCAGAGGTATGCTCTCTAACCTTAGACTGGATGTACTACTCACACCAACAATGGGATGGGGATCTTACTGGGGCCTTTTATGAAATGAGTCAGTTCATTATCTGTACATGGAAAAGTATTTCTCCTAAAATGAGGAATTTTCCAATCTTTGATTTTCATCAGAAATGCTCCATGAGTCACAGAGGGGAGGGACAGCTTCTGCACTGTTCCATTCCAAGCCTCAGCTGGTCAGTTCTCCAGGACTTTGCGGGCAGCTGTCTGTGTGAACTTGTGATGCTAGGGCCATAGAATCTTCACATTCAGTCTCTAGGTTGGACTGATCGGTGGCTTTCAGTTTGTTCTGTATTTTTTAATGTGTCCAACATTAATGAATATATTTTCTATCACAACCTGGATGCACGTAGTTTTTTGGGGGGAGAGGTTTTTGCTATAGGGCGCGTGCACTTGCCAGAAAGACAGTAAGACAGAGAAACAGAAAGCAAGAAATCACCCCCCAGGGGGATGGCCATGTCACAATCCCTTTTCCTCCATTCTCCTCTCGGGATCTTGGGCACGCACGCACACGTGCCCGGTGTGAATTTAAGCCACCAGGTCCAGAACTCGAACCATGGTTGACTACATGGGAGTCCAGCAACATAGCCATTACACCAACTGCTCATCCCGATGCACATAGATACTTACATCACTGAATCAGATGTATCACCAAACAACGCTTTTACTAAATGCAGTCTCTGATATGTGCCACTCTGTATTCTGTTAAAAAAAAAAATGCTCTGAGCAACCCTGGAAATTGATTCCATATGCTACTGCACTCTGAAAAATGGTGGCTAGATTGTCTAATCTTCATTAGATCTAATTTTGAGATCTACTTTGATATCCTACTTTTACGGAATGTGAGAAATCTTTAGATGTGATCCCAGCATCATACAACTAGTTAGTGGGAAAGCTGAGGCTGTAATCCAGGTCCCCTGACTAGGATCCAGTGTTTATACATACATATCTTTTACTCAGAGATACGTCTTTTCTTCTTTTTTTTTTTTTTTTTTGCGGGAGGTAGGGGGGGGG